AAACATCCTAGTATGCTTGGGAAGGGCTTGAGGAGGAGTATTGTACATCCTACTTTAGCATTCCACCAGTTACAATGAGTCTGTGTAGAGTATTGTACATCACAATTCCTAGTAAGCACAGTAGGTGATCTATTTAGACAGGCAACATACTGTCATAGCACTCTTTATTGAATAATTAGCTCTTCACACTCTTGTAGATGTGATTCATTTCTTCTCTACATGCTTCTTTCAGGGTGCTGGGACAGCAGCACATATGATGCTAGAAGTTTGGCCCTGGATACAACTTATCGGATGGGAGATTGATCCGACGGTGAAAACTGTTCTCACTGTCCTTTCATTTGTTTACTGATCACATGACTTAAGTCTGCAGAATTTTTCCAATTAAGTCATCCAAGAGCATTAAATTTTTATAATGTTGGTTATGCTATTTGAAGCACACATCCATTACCAGTATTCTGTGACTGGTTATGCAATTACAACTATTCATGTTTTCTGGCCTCGTTTCTTGTGATTTATGCTTTTCCTAATCATACAGCCATCTGTTTATATTTTCGTAACTGAAACCCCTGCAAAACTGTATCGTTTCATGACAGATAATTGAATTGTCGAGGGATTATTTTGGTATGTCCAATTTAGAGAAGACCACGGAATTAGGTGGTTCACTTTCGGTGCGTATAGGCGATGCACTTTCCCCATCAGCTACAGTTGAAGGAGGATTTGCTGGTGAACATCTGATCTGATGCAAACATAATGCATGTTTTACTGCCTTATTGGAATTGAATTATGACATGCTTTCTAGTAATCAGTTTTTCGATAATTATCTGTAATAAATTGTAGACTCTGTGTTATTTGGTTAGTGTTTCGGATGCCTTTAATTAGCTTTTCAAAGCATTTTAAGTTTTCAGTTTTGGAAGCTGACTTGCAAGGGTTTTAGCCTGACGGTACCTTGCTCATGCCTGCAGGCATTGTTGTTGATTTATTTGCTGATGGAAAAGTCTTACCTCAGCTACAAGAAGTAAATATCCCATGCCTTTTAATTCCTTTGTTATTATTCTCTATTTCTACCATGGCTAGTTTGTACTTTTCACTATATATATTTGCCTCGTGCTCCTTCCAGAACACATCAGAGTCATATTGTTGTATGGTCTAGCATGCAGGAACCACCATAGCTCCACAACAGATATCTTTGTGCTTACGAATTTGAACTTTTATCATGCTGTGTTAATGAGTGCACAAACTCAGTTTGGTCTGGTATTCAATTTACCGACGTAGAAAATCTGACATAAAAATGCTTACACATCCCAAAGTAAATTGAGTACATGCAAATGCATAAAAGTGATCTAGGACCTCGAGGATACTCTGCTCTGAGGAGATGCTAACAAAACTTAGCTACTTCTTGCAACCTTAGCAACTCTCGTGTTCGAGAAAACATTAGTGTGTCCAAGAATACTCCGTATGATGCTTATACCAAAACTAAATTTATATAAAGCTAGCCTACTTCTGAGATTTGTAAGTTCTTGAATGCTATAATTTTTATGGAGTATTTACTTCATTTCATTTCAACAAACTACATAGTACACTCTGGTTAGCGCTGAGTTTAATGTAATGTCAACATTGTTACAGGCTGAAACTTGGTTAGAGATTGCGAAGAAGCTCATGCCAGATGGTCGAATCATGGTCAACTGCGGTGGAGCAGATACCCCTGTATCTCTTGCTGCTGACACGGGTGTTTCGTCTTGGGTCCAGAATCCTACAATCAAGGCTCTGTGCGCTGCATTCCCTGGGCAGGTAAGAGTAATAGTCACCAGACCACTGAAACTCTATATTTTTGACCGTTGGTGCAAAATGATGTCCTGCTGATGATACGACCCTATATCGCAGCTAAACTGGAAGAGGCTTTCAGAGAAGGAGAGTGTAAACTACGTCGCGTTGACGGGTCCCCTTCCAGACCTGGAGGAGTGGTCAACCTCGGTTCCTAGCGAGCTAAGCCCTAGAGTGAAACAATGGGTGCCTTGCGAGCTTGCGTGAGGATGTGCGTTTTCTTCTGGTTGCACCTTTACTTGCTTCTACAACTTTGTCTGTCTCCCTCCATGGTCCTTTTAAGGTAAGTAGTTGCTGCAGCCAATACAAACCGTACACTTGATTATTTTGAATTATGTTAATGTTGAATTGTCACTTGCTCAAGGTGTACATAAGGCCATCTGTCTGCATCTGAAGAAGTACCATATCATATCAGCACTCACATGTCCAAGGAAGGAATTGCAATGTGGAAGGTAGTCTATCTGGCTCCCAAAGCTTGAAGAACAGCAGAGCGAAGACCTGTCCGTTTAATGGAGTTGATGCGTGTAATCCTGAAACCGAGCCGAGGGAAGAACGCATCGCGCTACAGTTTTTGGCATGTCCCGCTGACCTGCTGTTGATTATCATTCATCATTCCATGCCTTCATGGTGTCAAAGTGTCAAGTTCAGACGGTGATTAGTAAGCGCGCGTTACATCCCTTTGTTTTTTTTAGGTAACAACCTGTTATTTTCTTGTTGTTTACACGACCGATTCATGCCGTGTAATGTTGTTGTTCAGCATCAGGTTCTTAGTTCTTACTCAGCTACATAATTGTTATACTCGCGGTGGCGCTGCGTAAGTCGGCCATGAAGCATTACCTCGGCAACGACGTGTGAGCTGTTTCGGTAGTCCTTTCAGTTGTGTTTGATGAACTCGTCTCCGTTTGTGTGCATTGTTTGTGATGAACTGCCACGTGATCTCGAACAAATTCTCGCGCGAAATAATTTTTTGAGTTATCCAGTACCGTTGAGGAGATCTGTTTTGGCTGAAGCTTTTGCAGCCCGTAAAACCAGTTCCGGTGGTACCGCAAACTGGTTTTACGGTTTGGGGTTTTTAGTGGATCTCTGCTAGAGCCTAGAGATGTTCTAAGCAGTAGGTTACTGCAGCCGCGTGTTGATCATGCATTGTCAGTAAAGGCGTCACTATTGAGAGTTTTGACTAGCCAAAAGAACCGGTCAATGAGATGATATTTCATACGCTGATATGAAGAATTAATGGAACAACTGCGTGATTTAAACTCTGATATACAAACATATGTTGATAAATGGAGAGGGTCTGAGGAGCGAAGTGCTTTCGCTGAAAAGACAACACTAGTAAAACGTAATGCCTGACTTATGCTCCCCTTCTTAGCGCCAGAAATTAGCATTCCTACTACCTCAATTAGGGCAGGGGACGAGGGGGAGGAGCTCTGATGTCTGGTCCTTGGGTTGCGCTTGCGCCGGAGCAAGATTAAGAGGACGTGCTTGAAGTGCCTTGCATGTAGCAACGTTCATGGATAAGGTGGGAGAGCGATTATTGCTTCGGCAGTTGTTTGATGCACGAGGTACATGAATGAACAGAAAGTGATGCACGTCTGTATCGTCTCAATATGCAGATGAAGCAATTATTCAGCATGAGTGACCTCGGATTATTAAGCTAGTACTATTTAGGGATTGAGGTAAAACAGAAAAATAAAGAAATTCTCTTGTGCCAATCATCTTATGCAGCAAAAATATTAGAGAAGTGTGGGCTTGCTACTTGCAAGCCGTCACAGACATGATGGAAGCGAGATTAAAGTTGAGTAAATCAAGCAAGAGTCCTCTGGTTGATAAGACAGACCACCGCAATGTAGTTGGAAGCCTTTGATATTTGGTGAATACAAAACCATACATATCTTATGCGGTTGGAGTTGTGAGTCGCTTATGGAAACACCAACTAAGAGGGCGTTTGTTTCCAGGGACTTATTGGTTTAGGGACTTAAAAAAGTCCCTGTAAGTCTCATCTAAACCAAACAGGAGGGACTTATAGGGACTTAAAGTGGGCATTTGGGACTTATGAAATAAGACTCTCAAGGAGAGTCTTATAGGGACTTATAGTTGTAATATGGTCTTATAGGGACTTATAAGTCCCAGGAACCAAACAGGTAGAGACTTTTTAGGGACTTGTGACTTATAAGTTGGGACTAGAAAAAGTCCTAGAACTTATGAACCAAACAGGGCCTAAGAAACATATGGCTATAGTGAAGCAAATCTTGATGTATGTCCGTTGTACAATTAATTTTGGATGTCTTTATGCGAGAAAGAGCTTGCATAATTCTTGTCATGTGGGCTATAGCGATAGTGACATGGTTCGAGACGTTGATGACCCGAAGAGCGCTACTGGCACTATATTTTTTTTCTTAGTCCAAATTTTGTAACTTGAGGATCTCAGAAGCAAAAGACGATAGCATTATCTTCATTGTGAAGCGAAGTACATTTTTGCTACTATGGCAGCTTGTCAAGGCATTTGGCATGCACGCCTACTTAATGAATTGAAAATCCAATCAGATGGCAAGGTTACACTCAGTGTGGACAACAAATCAGCAATTTCATTATGCAAGAATCCGGTTTATCACAACAGAAGCAAGCACATCAACACAAGGTACAACTTCATACGTGAGTGCGTGGAATATGGAAAAATCAAAGTGGAGTACATCGCGAGTAAAGATCAGTTAGCAGATATTCTCACTATACCCCCTCCGCAGACTAAAGTTCCTGAAAATAAGAGAGCGGATCGGCATACAAAATAGCAAAGATAGGCAACATGGTAAGGGGGTGAAATGTTGCAAATAATCATATGTTGCCCAGCAAGTGCATCTACCAGTGAACTGATTGCTGGAAATATCTAACATGCATGTCGGCAATGCACAAATATCTGGAGAGAAGAAATATCCTCATGTAGGACGTCGGCAAGGCTGCGACCTTACCATTTAAGGTAGCTAGTATTGCCAAATAAAGTTGAGCTGTCATAGTATTAGCTTCTAGCAATGTGTGTGCTAGCTGTACACGTGCAGCTCAATGCCACCTTGTAATCTCTTCTATATAAGGGTTGGAGTCCCTCAGTTGTAACCCAGCCACTCAAGCAAACTAGCACTACGTGAGCTAGCTCCTACTCCGGCGTGTGTCCCGATTGCACCGCCACCATGCCCCTAACCTTGTCCCCGCCACGCCTCCTCCTTCTCCTTCGCCGCCGCCAAGCCAAGGTCCAGGAGCCGCGCTCCACGGCCCGCCCATGCCGTGGAGCGCGGCTCAGCTGTGCCCCTGACGAGGTCGCGGCCACAGACGCCGAGCAGCAGCAGGGAGAGGAGGAGGAGGAGTTGGTGCTGCTCGCCTCCTACCGCACCGCCTTCAACGAGGTCATCATGGTCATTGACTCGCCCTCCAACCGCTACCTCGTCCTCGACCCCACCCGTACGTATCACCGGTTGCTCGCGGATTTGGATCGTGTTGGTTTCTGAATCCAGTGAGTTCGAGCTCCGTGTTTGGTTTTCTCGTGCAGGCAACGTCCACAGCATTCTCCCCAAGAAGAGCGCCTGGACCAATTCCTACTGGGTACTAATCTAAACAGAATTTAGATGAGCCCACGTTTAGATTATTACTGCTCTACATCCATCATATGAGTACCTCCTATGACGATAGAGCTTTTTTTTTTTTTGACAAAATGTATGACGGATTGACGGTAGAGCTGTTTTAACATGGCCCTTCTTACCTCAGGGGGAGGTAGTAGAGGGCATAGAATATCTGAACAGTTGAGATAATTAACATGTGTAAATATATTTGTCTTAGCCAGTCATCTCCTCAGGCCAGGTAAGGAAACGCCCCCATTTCCAAAAAAGAAAACGGAAACGCCCCCTAATCACATGGTTCAGGCCAAATAAGGAAACCTACTAACGTGTTTTCTTTACCATTTTCGTAAAAGTAATTACCCATATATTTTCCACACGAAATAAAAATATTGAGCGATATTTGTGGATGGGGACTGAACTGCCTTGTTCACTATCAATCTAACGGTTCTACCGCCTTTTACTAGTTTGATGATGGGGATAGTCCATATGCTTAAAAACCACTAAAGGCTAGTTTTAGCTTTTCTCCTTTGATGTATGGTACGGTCCGGTTTCTATAATATATATCACGTACATTAATGTTTCCTAACTGAATCAAGCCAACGAAAGTCAATTTAAGAGACATTTATGTTCAAACTTTTGGCTGCTTATGTTTTTTGTTTCAAAAATTCAAAGTGTCCAACCCTACTCGGAAGGGGAAATTTTGAGATTGACGAGGTCACCCTGGTTCTCACGACGTTATTTCCCCAGTCACGACATGTTGAACGATATGGGTTGTGTAGCCATATCCATCTCCATAAACCCTCAATAGCCACCACCGCTCCAATGCTCCCCGTCGACAAGGCCACGAGTCCCACCTTGTCCTCCATCTTCTGCTTCCGACGAAAAGTGGACCCATATATGTGTTGCAGCGTTAAAGTTAGGTCTCTTAGGGTTAGAGTTTCGTTCCCCAGCGATGGCATTGTGGTGGCGATGGTGGCGTCGTCCGAATCAAGAATAAGGTTTCCCTGGCTCTTGGTTCACCTTCTTGGTGACGATCACGTTGGCACCATATATGAGGTCGGTGGATCGTGTGGTCATTGCTCTCCTGGAGTGCTGGATCTTGCGGTGCCTTCGCGTTAAGTTCTAGTTCACCTCGTTGTTTCTTTACCAACATCTTTCTAGTTCATATCTTTACCAACGTCTTTCTAGTTCATATTAATTTCAATTATTTTTATCTATTTGTACTAATCATCATAAATTTCTAAGGTGTGGAGGTAAATATAAGTTGAAAATTAGAGCCAATGTTTGTATTTAAAAAAGTTAGGGCCTTTTTAAATATTTTTAAAACAACTCATCAATGCATTTTATGCAGCATCAAAACAGATGAAATACCATGTTCGGACCATCCTAAATCATTTTGACCAGCGTTGCACATGTTGCATCCACATGATCCGAAACCTAGATTAATCTTGATTGAAATTTTAATTTTCAAAAGAAAATAGTTGTAATCACATCAGATAAAAATAGTGGAAAATTGTAAAATATATAAAAATAGCAAAAACATAATACGTTTTGAACTCGCAACCTAACCAAAGGCTCAATACTGGAAGAGCATGGCATTTCAAATACTTTTCCTGGCAGTTTTAGTTGTTTAGGGGGTGGCAGTTTCTTCGAAACAGCATGGCATTTTCTGGGAGGATGGCAGTTCTGAGTCTTCATTCTAGAAAATGTCATATTGCGCTAACCGGTCTGGATAAAGTGATAAGCATATTATCGAGCATCTAGTAGGATGCAGGCATTAGGAATTTATGCTCGATGCTTCCAGTGGGCCTGTTGCTCTGTTAGAGTTATAAATGTACTCCAATTTTAGTTTTCGGTATGACAACAGAAAAGTTATTTTCACCGCACAGGATTTGTTACATAGAACCATCGCGCGAAAAATATTTTTTATCGCATAGAAAAAGTTTTAATCTCAGCTTCGAACAATGCTCATTGCTGGCATCATCATTCATCGCCAGTTGGCCATGCAATGCAAGGGCTTAATTTTTTAATGAAGACATCATATATACTTTCTCGGTCCCAAAATAACCCGTTTTGCTTTTGCTGTCATTCAGGATGAGTGCGTCAGCCTGCCTACCGTTGTTCCACGAGGTCCTGTTGCACTTCTAGGTTTGGTAAATCCATTCTCTGACATTTCTTAGCCATGCTCCTGTTCTATACACATCATTGTTTCTGCGAAGCAAAGTGATTTTGTGAGCTCGGGCTCATATGATCTCAGATGAACAGTAAAATCCGAAAAATAGTAATAAAAAAAACTGTTGTTTTACGCACTACTTTAGTGTTCAACCAGTTGCAACGAGTTTGTATAAATTATTGTACATTACAATTCCTAGAAAGAGCATTAGGTGATCTACTTAGACAAGCAACCGTCATAGTGGTCCTTACTTAAATAATTAGCTATTCACACCTCTTGCAGATGTGATTCATTTCTTCTCTACATGCTTCTTTCAGGGTGCTGGGACAGCAGCACATATGATGCTGGAAGTATGGCCTTGGATACAGCTTATCGGATGGGAGATTGATCCGACGGTGAAAACTATTATCACTGTCCTTTCATTTCTTTACTGAATACATGACTGAATGTCTGGAGAATTTTACCAATTTCAGTTATACGGTAGTCTTGGAGAATTTTTTGTAATGTTTTTGGGGCTTTTTTGGGCAATGTTGGTTATGCTATTTAAAGAAAACATCCATTACCATTATTCTGTGATTGGTTATGCAATTACAACTATTCATGTTTCTCAGCCTTGCTGTGTTTTCTGCTTTTCCTGATCATACAACCATCTATTTATATTTTCATAACTGAAAAGTGAAAACCCTAAATCACTTTATCGTTTCATGACAGGTAATTGAATTGTCGAGGGATTATTTTGGTATGTCCACTTTAGAGAAGACCACGGAACTAGGTGGTTCACTTTCGGTGCATATTGGCGATGCACTTTCCCCATCGGCTACAGTCGAAGGAGGATTTGCTGGTGAACATTTTATCTGATGCAAACATAATGCATGTTTTACTGCCTTCTTGGAATTTAATTATGGCAAGCTCTCTAGTGATCAGTTTTCAATGATTATCTGTGGTAAATTTAGACTCAGTGTGATAGGGTTGGTGATAGAATACCTATAATTGGCTTTTCGGAGGCTCTAAAGTTTTTAGTTTGGGGAACTGACTTGCTCGTGCCTGACGGTACCTAGCTCATGTCTGCAGGTATTGTTGTTGATTTATTTGCTGATGGAAAAGTCTTACCTCAGCTACAGGAAGTAAAATCTCCCTTGCTATTCCTTTTTAGTTCATTTGTTATTATTCTGTATGTATTTCTACCATGGCTAGCATTTAGAGTTTATAGTTTTTCAGTACTACTTATATTATATGTCTCCTGCTCCTTGCACAACACAACAGAACCATATTGTGGTATGGTCACCGTAGCTCCACCACAAATATATTCATGGTGGTTACAAATTTGAACTGTTAGCATGTTGTATAAATGAATGCTCATACTCAGTTCGGTCTGGTATGTACTCCATCCGTTTCTAAAAATAAGACTTTGTAGAGATTTCACTATGGACCATATACGGATGTAAATACTTATATTTAGAAACGGAGAGAGTAATTGGCATTGAAAAACTGACATAAAAAACTTATACTCGCTCCGTCCCATAATGTAAGACGTTTTTTTGAGACTAGCAAAAAAACATCTTACATTATGGGACGGAGGGAGTACATTCCAGAATAAATGCAAATGCATAAAAATGAAATGATCTTTATAACAGAATTAGAGGAACTGTAGTACATAAAAGATTTTGCATATTTCTACAAAAAGCACGCCCGAGATTTGTAAATTCATGAATGGTACTTTTAGGGAGTATTTACTTCACTTCGACGAACTTCCGCTGGCTCTAACGTGATGTCAACATTGTTACAGGCTGAAACTTGGTTAGAGATTGCGAAGAAGCTGATGCCCGATGGTCGAATCATGGTCAACTGCGGTGCGGGAGATACCGCCATATCTCTTGCCGCCGACGCGGATGTTTCCTCCTGGGTTCAGAATCCCACAATCAAGGCTCTATGCTCTGCATTTCCAGGGCAAGTAAGAACTTTTTTTTTTTACCAGACTACTGAACCTGTGTATTTTTGACTGTTGGTGCTAAATAATCTCATGCTGATGATACGACCCTACTATGTCGCAGCTAAACTGGAAGAGGCTTTCGGAGAAGGAGAGCGTAAACTACGTCGCGTTGACGGGTCCCCTTCCGGATTTGGAGGAGTGGTCAACCTCGGTTCCTAGCGAGCTGAGCCTGAGAGTGAAACAATGGGTGCCTTGCGAGCTCGCATGAGGATCGATGTACTCCCCTCGTCCCAAAATAAGTGTCTTGAGCTTAGTACAACTTTGTACAAAGTTGAGACACTTATTTTGGGACGGAGGGAGTAAGTTTTTCTTCTGTCTGCGCCTTGCTTGCTTCGACAACTTTGCATGTCTCCTCCCTCCACGGTCCTTTTCTGGTGAGTAGAAGCTTCAGTCGGTCAGCAGGTGCCGCACGGTTGAGCACGCTTGATTATTCGATGCCCTAGTTCACATGAGCTAGCCCATCTGACTTGTTGAACTATGTATGTTGGTAATGGTTGACTTGTTGCTTGTTTAAGGTGTAGTTAAGTTAAGGCCATCGACCTGCATTTGAAGAAGTGCCATATCATATCAGCGCTCACATGTCTGAGGAAGGAATAGCAGTGATCTGTCCGGCCCCAATTTATGTTCCTAGTTTGAAGAAGAGCAGAGCGAAGACCTGCCTGCATGTTGAATGGAGTTGATGTGTCTACCCCTGAAATCGAGCGAGGGGGACTTCGGAACGCACCACGCTACAATTATTTTTTGTTATGTCCCGCTGACCTGCTGCTGATTAGTACTACCTCTGTATCAAAATATAAGACGTTTTGCCAGTTCGATTTGAACGGTAAAGATGTCTTACATGTTGGTACGGAGGCAGTACGTGCCATTCATCATCCCACTCCTTGTCTCGGCAGTGTGCCGCAAAGTGACAAGTTCATTGCCGTTGTGCAATGGCTTTCGCTGGAGGTCGCTGTTCGTTAGTAGTAGTACCGTCTGCTCACGGCTACACGTTACTTCTACACGATTGAACATCGTGCCGCGGTCGAGCTGGATGTATTGTTGTGGTTGCGTCTTCAGGTTCTTCTTACGCAGCTGTCGTGTTTGCTAGGGGCAAGAGTGAGAGAAACGCGTACGATCCGTTTTTCTGCGTCGCAGAAGGCACGCTGCTTTGCAAGATGCAACACCCACACTAGCTTTGGAGATGTATTCATTCATCTAAAATGTTACTGCTACGGTCTCTTAATTCTTGAACCAAATAATGATAACACCAGAATTCTTGAGCCAAATAAAATTGCAAAATTACCTCGCAAAAAAAAAATACAAAACTGAAGTGCTAGTCGGTGATAATAATGAAACAAGTGGGCCCTAATTTTTGTCGTTGAAAAAGGGCCGTCCGTTAACTAAGACTTGAAAGACAAGCCCGACCCGTGAAGCTTTTCCTCGACAATGGTGTCGAAGCGCTGTGCCATCTCCGGCGTCATATGGTTGCCACCCCTTTCCTGAAGAAGGATGCGTGCGGAAACCTGACAAAGATCCTGTTGGCGCCGGTGTTGTTGGCGCCGACGCCTCTCAACGTGTCGATTGTGCACAGCTTCACGATGTCCGCGGGCAAGCCCCAAAGCCTCCTCGGTCACCGTGAATGGCACTCCAAGAAACCACGCCGGTTCCCTGACATTGCCGGCCAGATCGCGCAACATCTCCTCGTACCGCAGGAAGAGGGCCCTCTTTCGGGCTGGCTCTGCTCGCCTGCCGGCAGCCGAGGACGTAGTCCCAGATGAGGCCGCTGGCGTGCTTGCTTTGGCATGCGTTCTCGATTCTCGAATACAGTACTGGGTGGGAGGACGTGTAGTTAGGTGCTGCCCTCTGCCGTGGCAAAGCTTTGGTAGAAGTGCCACAGGGAAACCAGCATATCCTTATGCTCCCTGCAGACGTGGACGATCTTGCAGTCGGGGTTGTGGGCGACGGACGGAGGCAGGAGGGAGTGGTGCACGTGCGTGCTGATCAGCCTGGGCGACGGCAGCGCGTCCAGCTTGCTTCCCTGGCCGGCGCTGAAGAGGCTGTCAACCAGAGGGACGCAGTCGTGCGGGCTGAGGCGGAGGAGCGGGTGGTCGTCTCCGCCGGGCCTTGAGCCACGTGGTGCCGCACTTGGGCGGGCTGGCGAGGAGCACGTCGCCGGGGCGCGGCGCTGGAAAGAGATGAACCCCGGCACCCTGGTTCTGGCGCATCATCAAGCCTCCGCACATGGTGATGGTGGGCATGGCGGAGATGACGTCCGCGTACTCTTCCGGCGGCGAGACCACGTGGTCACCGCCGCCGCCGAGGGCGTCCTTGAATGGGAATGCTAGATGAGGAGCGGGCAAGGTGATGCGCCCAGAGTGTCGGCCATGGTTCTATCGGCAATGCTAGATGCAAATATGCAATCAACGAGATAAAAATGGCGCTAGATGCAATCCAGAGTTGACATCATTCCACTTCAATGAAATGAGACCATTAAACAAGGAGAGTGCCGTGCTCCAGCCCTGGCTGGATTGCTGCCATTTCAAAATGAACGGTGACCCCTAGATATGCATGTGCCAACGTGCTGTGTCTGAAGATTTTTCAATTTCTTGGGCTCAAAATTGACAAGATGGACATGCCATTGCCAGCCCCAGCCATTCATTCACTCACAAACCGCAGCCACGCAATCCAATTCGGATCCCAAACCTCCATTCAGATGAATGGGTGGGTACTCCTTTCATGGCTTACGGCAAGGCAATCAGAAAGGAAAATAGAAAAGATGAGTAGCGACAGACCGACCCGTGTCGCGGTGTCGGTGGACAACCGAGACCGTGTTCGACTATCGCAGTCAGGGCAGTCCATCCCAACATCCTGCAAGATTACATACTCACATGTTATTAAAAAAAAAACAGATTTCATACTCACATCCAGAGGATATAAATGTTATCACAAAGGATCGATAACCAGCCGTACATGGATAACGCCTCAATCATGTCGTGCTCAGGCCGGAGATGCGTCATCCATGGTGTGACCTCGACATCAGCCTCGCCAGGTTAACTTAGTCTTGCCCTGTTGCCAACAAAATAGATGATGGTCTAGTTAGACCTGCCTCAACCTCTAACTGACAGTAAATTATCTATGTAGGTCGTCGGAAATATAAGAGGCAACGAACACAGTACAAACACTTTGTAAGCACACAAGGTTTTCCACCCATTTTCTCGTTCAATTGCTTATTAATTTTTGCGCCTCTATGATGAGCACGTGATAGTGGAAAACTAGCCTTCACAAGGCACACAGTAAGACATGACCTTACATATATCTCGTTAAGCTTAAATCGGATAACAGAAAGACGAGAGACTGTTGGCGCAACATACTACTGTACCTAGGAAATATCTAAAGTCCCTTTAGTCCACATAGCTCCACCTGAGTTGTGCAAGCTCCCCCTACATATATGCAAAGCAGTACATCTGGAGCTAGATCAAGCACAAGCCCACATGTCCATCTCGACTTTGGGTAAAGGAAATGTGATGCGTTCTGGCTTTGCTTACATTCTTTCCTTTACGACAGAGATTCTTCACTAGTAGAAAAAGGGTCAAATGTGAAGCACATTAGTGCCGGTTTGTAAAAAAACCGGCACTAATGTGATCAATAGTGCCGGTTCGTGGCTGCGATCAATAGTACCGGTTCGTGTTGAGCCTTTAGTACCGGTTCGTGCACGAACCGGTACTAAAGGGGTAGTGGCAGGCTGGCGTCAGGCCGGGTCCCCACGAGCACCTTTAGTACCGGTTTGTGTTACCAACCGGTACTAAAGGTCTAACCTATAGTACCGGTTCGTGCCACGAACCGGTACTAAAGGGGACAAGCCTTTA